GTTTTGAAAGATGTTGCCGACCAAGCAAATCCACCTGAAAATATTAAACAGAAGCTAAGTCGGTATACTAAATAAGGAGAAGACGTTAGGAACTTGCGTACGCGGGATCTATGGTCCTTGCCAAGCAGGTGACCAATTGGCTTCCGTGGGTGAAGCACGAAATCGCACAAACTATGGTATTCCATTCGCCGCTTTTTTTTATAAACTCAATGCGATTTGAAAGACAAGGGCAAATACCAATTCATGGTAGAGAGTATTCGAATCCGAATGATTTGCTTTTCGAAAACCAATTTTTTCAATCGAATTTTATTCGATACCGATGGCATGATTCGATTATAAACAAACGATTACTAATATTTATCAAAATTTTTTATCGAATTCTGCAATCTGGTCGATGTTCAGACACGAAAACTTTTGTTGCGGAAACTCGAAGCAGACCTGGAAGAAAACAAACGACCGGGAATGTGAAAAGAGATGCGAATAAAATGGTAATCAAAGCTAATGGGCCTCCGCACACTGGACTGGTCAGTCCACCTAAAACTGGTTTTGTGTGGGTAACAGTGCTACACACGACGAACATATCCGCGCACATGTGCGCCAACATGGTCGTTGTCGTTTGCTGCAGACGGCGAGCGGCTCATAAGTGATTTTGTACTAAAAGCGTAAACATGGAAAGGAAAGACGCGGATGATGCAATTGCGCACTTCCTTTTAATTACATTTATTGAAAATCGCTTAAAAATAACTGAAATAAACGACAGCTAAAGTTCAAATAAAGAAAGAGAAAAAACAAAACAGAAATAGCAAACTTCAAAATTACGTACGTCACACACTATTTTCTCAAATCGTTACCTTAATATAGAAAGGCCCTAACTCACTTCGTCGATGAATTAAAAAAAAACCATAACTAACGAAAAATCGAAAAATTCACTTTTTGATTAATTTTGACGCATTTATTGATTTATCAGTCTCCACATCGTTTTATGCAATAAAAAAATGTTCGTCAGTTACGGTTTTTTTACATTTCAGCAACGACAATGGTAACGAAATGCTAATGCAAATGGCTGCTTTTCAACCGGTCAGATCTGTTCTAATTGGTTCATGAAGTTATACGCTATTTCACATACGCAACTTGAACAGTGTGTGTATACGGCCCTTAAGCTTTACGTTGTTTGTGAAAAATCAATCGACAAACTGAAGATTACACTTCATAATCGTTGTATTTGAACTGTCAGTGGACATATGTATTTGGGCAAAATCTCTTCGTAAAAAAAATACAATCGGACGTCTCTGTTATTTTTCTGTCTTCAGAAAACCTTTAAATACCTTTGGTAAGTAGTTTCTTTAACATATTTTGCTCTGCAATTGAGAAAATAAAAAACCAGCGAAACACGCATTATCGGCAATACGCTAGGTAATTTTGAAATTTAAATTGGCCCTTAATCCGTGCATCAGCTTATGTAATTCATGGGACGGAAAAAGTTTTTACTGTAGGAATTTATAAATGTGTTATTGAACTGTTTTAATTTCTTATAGGAAAACATGTTTCGCGCGCCGCTTACCAAGGTCTTACAAGGAAGCTTCGGTTCACCGACACATCGGATTGCAAGTAAAGCGATTCGCACCAGCGCTGTGGTGGCACAAACACCAGCAAAAGCACCAGAAAAAATAGAAGTATTTGTTGATGACGTCCCCGTAAAAGTTTTGCCCGGAACAACTGTCCTGCAGGTGATATTTCTGCGTTATATAAAACTATTTTTATAGCAATATGCGCATATCGATTTTGCAGGCATGTGCTCTGGCCGGTGTAGAAATTCCGCGTTTTTGTTATCATGAACGCCTGGCTGTTGCAGGCAACTGTCGGATGTGTCTGGTTGAAGTAGAAAAAAGTCCTAAGCCAGTAGCAGCATGTGCCATGCCAGTAATGAAGGGTTGGCGCATAAAGACTGACTCGGAAATGACAAGAAAGGCTCGTGAAGGCGTGATGGAATTTCTTCTTATGAATCATCCACTAGATTGTCCAATTTGCGATCAGGGCGGTGAATGCGATCTTCAAGATCAGGCAATGGCGTTTGGATCAGATCGTTCTAGATTTACTGACATAAACCATACCGGCAAAAGGCAGGATTATGAAAAATATTCATTATATGTAAATATGTTCATTTTATTTTAACAGAGCCGTTGAAGATAAAAATCTTGGACCCTTGGTCAAAACTGTCATGACTCGATGCATTCACTGTACACGTTGTGTGCGCTTTGCTTGTGAAGTAGCTGGTGTTGAAGATCTTGGTACGACTGGACGTGGCAATGATATGCAAATAGGAACCTATGTTGAAAAATTATTCCTCTCCGAGCTCTCAGGAAATGTTATCGATTTATGCCCCGTGGGCGCTTTAACAAGCAAACCCTATAGGTAACGCTTATAATGTTTTAATAAATCCATACGTATATAAAAGTAAAATATAATCCTCAAAATCTCTGAAATAGTTTCGTGGCTCGTCCATGGGAAATTCGCAAAGTTAGCAGTATTGATGTTTTGGATGCTATAGGAAGCAATATTGTAGTAAGCACACGTACAAACGAAGTGCTCCGAATCGTGCCACGCGAAAACGAAGATATAAATGAAGAATGGCTTGCTGATAAATCACGTTTCGCCTGCGATGGTTTGAAGCGGCAACGTTTAGTTGCTCCCATGGTTCGTATGCCGAATGGTGAATTACAAGCCGTAGAGTGGGAGGGCGCATTAATATCTGTTGCTAAAGCTATTAAAAACGCCAAAGGCGCTGTATCTGCGGTAGCTGGTCAACTAGCTGATGTTGAAGCTCTTGTTGCTCTAAAAGATTTATTAAACCGAAATGGCGCTGAAACTCTTTGCACGGAACAAAGCTTAAATATTAAAGGCGCCGGTTCAGATTTGCGTTCAAACTATGTTTGCAATTCCACCATAGCAGGTAGGACCATTTACTACTAATACTACTATTAGATTGACGCTTACACATATGTTAGTGTTTGATCGAGTATTTACAACATGTAGAATTTTAATTACTCATTTATTTCGATCCTAGACCTTGAAGAAGCAGACGCTGTCCTACTTATCGGCACTAATCCGCGATATGAAGCTCCCTTAATTAATACACGATTACGCAAATCATACATCAATAATGAAATGGACATTGCTTCTATTGGTCCCAAAATAGATCTGTCATACGACCATGAGAATTTGGGCGAAGACGCTGGTCTAATAAGTCAAATTTGTAGCGGTGGACATCCCTTTTCAAAAATTTTGGAAAGCGCTAAGAAACCTGCAATTATACTCGGAGCAGATTTGTTGGAAAGAGCTGATGCAGCTGGCATACATGCAACTGTGTCTTCATATTGCAAAAAGTTAAATAAACAGGTAAGAGTTAATAATTCCCATGACTGCCGGCAGATCGCCGAACCTTACCAATCATTGTCTGTGTCTGGAGCATAACCCTGCAGCAGGGTTGCTCCACATCTTTCTGCTTTTGGAATGGTGTTGAGCCCAACGCCGGACCAAAAATCAAACTCTACTTTGTTGAAACTGTGGCAACGGATGTAGCCACCTATGAGAAAAGAGTAAAACCAACTGCCCACAACTCGCGCAACACGCCGAAGTGGCTTAGCAACTCTATTATGCTCAACTTAGATTCATCTTATACTACAATATTCAGTATCGAAGGGTGCGCAGGCGATGTCGAGCTTATCAGAATTGAAGACCGTTTTGTAGTAAGTTACTTTAACGGGGACCATGATCTTTGACATTAAACGCTGTCAAATAACCGCAGAATTTATAAATCGATCTCCGAACTATCAGAATCTTATATGGGAAAACCATTCACATGCAATAAAGTTTATCAGCAAACTAAAAAAACAAAAAAAAAAAAAAAAACATTTTAATATATGTGAATTATTTCAATTTATAGGGTTGGAACTCATTTAATGTTCTGCAAAACAGTGCAGGCCAGACTGGTGCTCTTGACGTAGGTTATCAACCCGGCGTTCAAGCTGCCCTAAAGTCTCAGCCAAAAGTTCTCATATTGCTTAATGCTGATGCTGGAAAAATTACTCGAGAAAAGCTACCCAAAGATTGTTATGTTATTTATATTGGACATCATGGCGATAGTGGCGCATCAATTGCTGACGCAGTACTCCCTGGCGCTGCTTATACCGAAAAGCAGGCAACTTTCGTCAATACAGAGGGTCGGGCACAACAAACACTAGCCGCGGTGTCACCACCAGGTATGGCACGTGAAGACTGGAAAATTTTGAGGGCATTGTCCGAGGTTTTAGGTAAGTTTTTAATATAAAATGATGTGGAAATGGAAATACATGTAAATGCATCGATGTTCTTTAGGCACACCTTTGCCTTATGACAGCTTGGATGAATTAAGGAACCGCATCGAAAACATAGCACCACATTTGCTACGTTTGGGAAAATTGGAATCATCGACGTTCGGAGGCTTGAACGAGCAGTTGGGCGTCGTACGTTTATGACCTTTGTATATTTTTCTCTTCTTTATTTGCATGAATTATCTCTTTTTCAGTCAAAGTCAATTGATAATACAAAAATTGACGTGAAGCAAAAGAAATTGCAAGAATATTTTATGACTGATCCCATTTCTCGAGCCTCTCCAACAATGGCTAGATGCGTTCGTGAAGTTTCCGGCGAGGAGGCAAAGGAGCAACATAGAAAGGAAGCTACATGCTAAATATTCAGTGATAAAGGATATAATCAATACTTAGCTACATAATCAGTCTTTAAAACGCTACTGTTAAAATTACGGATTTTATTCTCTCTACAAAACCGAGAAGAACAATTTGTTCGACATTTACTATATTTGTTATTGTCTAAAGCAAGTTTATTTCAAGAAAAAATAGCAACAGTTCAAGAAAGAATATTATAATATATGTATGTATGCAGATAAAAACTAGATAACTAATGAATATGATTTGTGTTTTCAATTGTTATTCAGAACTTTCTTTTCCCATTAATGTCGTTCATATAATAAATTTAAGGATGCCCGGTATTGACTAAAAAAGTTTCGGAAATTAGCTTCATTCGCAGAGTCTGATTCATCAGCAATTTCCATTTTTACAGCTGCTGGCATCTGCGGAAAATCCCTTTCTGTTTCGGTATAATTAGTTTTGAGGTCTTCTTTGATGTTTGATTTGAATTTTATGAACTCTTCCATTGAAATTTCAGTTTCAGTCTCTCGCATGCTACAAATATTCGGATTATTCTCGCTATTAGGTAGGTTATCATTTACATCATCTTCATCGTCGTTATTAAAAATTGGCTCCAAAGTTGAGGACAGATTCAAAGAAGTTAAAGATTGTTGCGAAAGAGATGGGGTCTGTGGTGTTGCCAACCCATAATCTGTCTCCCCAGGTTGAGCCATATCGACCAATAGTTCATTTGAGGAATTATTTTGTTGATTAGGACTAAAAATATGAAATTATTTAAAACTGATATTGAAAAAAATAATAATTTCGTACCATATTTCAGCTACGATTTTTTTTACTTCCATTGAGCCATCTTCGTACATCGGCAAGTAATCTCCAAAGAAATGTAAGACCTGTTCTTTGCCGCAATTTCCATAATAGCCAGCATATTCAGGCCGAAAATCTTCTCCTAAATGCAACACCGAGTCATGGGGATTCTCAAATAAGTCGACAGGTAATTCAATAACTTGCTCTTCTTCCGCTGACGCAACGCCCGCACGACCTAGCCCATCTGATTTAAGGCGGCGTTGTTGAGCTTGAATAGCTGCGCATTCGTCAGAGGCTTGTAACTTCTCTTCCAAAATGCGTGTTTCATTTTGGAAACACAAAATTGTTTGGAAACGTAGCCCACTTTTCTGAATGTTTGATAAACCGCCGTGTGACATAAAACACAGATCACCCAACATTCTATCGGCCACCTGGCGGTACTTCAGTTCCTCGGCTAAGCGCTGTAATTGAACGGTTGTATCTGTCCTAACATTTTTCTCTGCCTTATCAATTTCACCCAAAAGCTGATAGGTATGACGACGAATTTTCGCCAATAAGTCCAGGCGATGTCGTTGGAAGTTTTCGTTCTTATACTGCAATAGTAAGTCCTCTTCCGCTTCCGGTGTGGCGTTCAATCGATCAAATTTGAACTGCTCAAGATGTTCCAGGAATATGGAGCGGTTCTTTATTTTGAATATGGAATGCGTCGAGTTCAAATAGTCCTCAAGTGCTACTAAATCAAGCAATATTACAGTTCCGTCCCGATTCCAACGTAGAAAATCGTAGAAATCCAAATGGACAACTAACCACAATTTGTACGGAAAGGGAAAATTCAAGATGTCTTGCCTTGTAACGAATGAAGACATTTCCGTTGAGCTCCCTATTGGAAGCACAAACGATTCAGCTTGATTTTGCATTTCTCAAAGAAAAATTTCGCAAATTAACAGAATTATTTTTATATATGTATATTTTATTTTTTATTTTTCAAAATAACCTAAACTTACGTGTGAAAAAACGAACGGAAGAGGAAACGCGAAGCCGACTGCAATAGGGTTGCAAACCCTTGAAAATGGTAAATGTTCTATGTGGAGGTTTGGATAAAGCGAAGGCATAATTCGGCTTTAAATGAAAGAAGATTAAATAAAAGCCTCAATTGAAATTTAAGTGTTATTGTTAAAATTTGTGAGAAGTTTTTAAATTTATATCCTTTCGTATTATGTAAGGAATAAATTTAAAAAAAAGTATTACTGATGTCCACTAAACTAGTAGTACTAATAAATGAATCCATATGCATGGATAAAATAAATATGTGAAAAATAAATAAATTACTACATTTCAGTAATCGGTTGTAAACTATTAAAAAATAAAAAGAAGTTGTAATTTTTGTCTATGGAAACGAAAGCGGATAATTCATATTTTGCTACACAAAAACATCGTTCGTGAAGATTAAGTGATTTGGAAAAAATTCATGTTTGAATGCACAAGGGTAAAATAGAGTTCTTTTCAATGTCCCACCAGTTTCATTCATTCAAATGATAGTTACATAAAACTAAGATATCGTTTGATATTAATAAAATTTTATACATTAGTTATCGTTCTATGTTAAAATATATCTTTCGCTGTTGTTTAAGCTCCAACGGCATAGTTATAATTCACAATTGATCACATTCTGGAGTAAAATGTCCCACCAGTCATAATATAATTGCTTTATCGGTGATAAATATGGAAAATCAAAATGGAAGCTGAAAAAAGCACAAAAAAATCGTACGCTACTTGCAAGCTGCAAAATAGATATAAGTTTAAACAATTTCATCAACTCACATAAATAGAGCTTTTCCGCGAGCATTGGTTTAGTTTAAACATCAGATATAATCAGAAATAAAAATTTCCATGTTTGTTTCCAAAACCGCCTAAATGTCATTGTGGCAAAAATGAAATTTGGCAACCCTGAACTCCAGGCAGAGTTTCATACGTCAAATCGTTATTCCAACACAAAATTTTGTAAAATGGCAGATAGATGAAATCAAGGCGTATTTAACAGGGTGGTGTTGGGTCGACAGCTGAGTTTTTCGCCGCGGAGAGCATTACGTCAAAATAATGGCCCGTAGTTATAGTCAAAATAAAGTCGACTCTAAAGTTAAAAGCAGCTTTTTGACATAACTTTCAATGAGATATCTGTCAAAAAACCTGCTTTTAACTTTAGAGTCGACTTTATTTTGACTATAACTACGGGCCAATGTGTTTGTTGTAACTCATACTAATGACAGTATGGATATCTGCATATAATTTGCTAGTGTAATTTTTTACTTAAGCCCAAAATACAATAACTCAGTGGCAGTGGCGGTGGCAGTTTTTCGAAATCAGCTGTTTTTTAGAAAGTGTGGTGTTCAATGAAGCGAAGCTGCATCGTGAACTGGTTTGGGAGTTTCAACTCGTTCTTCCTTTCGCTCTATTCTTTGTTTACTTGTGGTACACAAATGTCAACGGCCAAGACGGCACAATCTTGTATTCTATCATTCTTGCGTTGGTATGAACTGGTTGTGTGAAAAACAGTTTCTCTATACGGCATTTCCACGCTTCGTAATTCGCTCTCATTCGTAATTCGCTCTCCTATTCGTCATTCGCCTTGGTAATTACCTTCCGAATTACGTTATTTCGCCATACGTGGAAACATAGTATTAGGTATTCATATTCGCACCCTGCATACCATGATTTTACAAGAATGATAGAATACAAGATTGCGCCGTCCTGGGTGTTGACATTTGTGTACCACAAGTAAACAAAGAATAGAGCGAAAAGAAGACCGAGTTGAAACAGCCAAAGCAGTTCACTTTACTGCGAAAAACGTGTTTTAATTTTGCTAAATGCGAAAATATTGCATTTTTCACCTAATCTATTAGAGAACAGTGAACATTGTAGTGCACTCCATTGCTTTACAATTGAAGCTGCTTCAGCAAACGTTTTAGTGCACTTCATTGCTTTGCAATTAAGGCTGCTGCAGAAAACTGCACCAGCATCTCTGCGGGACTGATAAGTTAACTTGCTAATGGAGGCTGCGTGGAACAGAAACAAAATCATTGTGAGGAAATGCTGTTAATATAATAATAGAGAAACATTTTGGGAACGGCTTTGTCGTGCCCTATGTACACAAAATGCACCGATTCGTCCCAGCGCTACACTTGTATCTACGCTTCTTGCATCTTGACGGTTGTCGCAATTTAACACACAGCACTTCATTGTATTAGTTTTTACGCAGTCTTCAACTCAAAAATCACTCACTAATTGCAAATTAACTGATTTTTCACTTATAATTCAAATTTCTCTTTCGCTGATATGTAAACAAAGGTTTATTTACAAGTTACCACAACTGTCAAAATCGGCAAAACCAAAGTAGCGGTACCACTGACGGCGCCACCTTTGTTTGCTGCACCGTGATGATTTTAGAGTATTCTTGACTTTCTGAATGGTTCCACAATTTTTTTTAATTTTCTATAAGAAATCGTATAGAAATTTGTGGATGTAGACGCGGATTTGTAAACAAAGCAGAATATGCGATAATTTGACATAACCGTCCTCATAATAAAAAGCATGGCTTCTTTCGCTATCCTGTAATTGATACGCCTTGCTCTCCTGTAAATTTGGGTGTCGTAAATTAGGCAGTTTCGCACCTCATCACCGACGGAGTTTTACTATCGTCTATTTCGTCTATTGGTCTTCATAGATGTATCGATAAATGAGTTATATTCATCAATATCGATACTTTATTGAAATTACTGTGATATTTGACGTTTGTTTTCCATTAAATTTTTGGCGAAAAGTCGGGTTATATAAAAAGGTTTTTTTTTGCATTTTTCATTCAATTTATGCTTAATTTTCACAACTACAAACACTTGTACGAATTAAAGTTGCGTCATAAATATTTTTTTATCTTATGCAGGACTCGGAAATAAAAAACAATGCTTCGCTCCGTAGCTTCATTGGTAAACAAAACACCCAAAGTGCTGGTCCGCACTTCTGGATCCCCGAGTGTTTTATATGGAGCTTTTGGGCCAGCACTGAATACATTGGCCTTGCGGCAGCAACAAACCATGCCGGTGGCAGATCCAAATAACCCACTTCCAAAGAGAAGTCCCTCACCGTTTGGCAAAAACCAGCCCAACATGGTGGAATGGTCAATTGCGCGTTTAGATGATCTTTTGAATTGGGGTCGTAAAGGTTCCATATGGCCCCTGACTTTCGGATTGGCTTGTTGTGCTGTGGAAATGATGCACATAGCTGCACCGCGATATGACATGGATCGTTACGGTGTTGTGTTTCGGGCATCCCCTCGTCAGGCAGATGTTATAATCGTTGCTGGCACACTTACTAATAAAATGGCCCCCGCTCTCCGTAAGGTATATGACCAGATGCCTGAGCCGCGTTGGGTTATTTCCATGGGCAGCTGTGCCAACGGTGGTGGATATTATCATTATTCATATTCCGTGGTTCGCGGATGTGACCGTATTATACCAGTTGATATTTATGTACCGGGATGTCCACCAACGGCCGAAGCGCTTATGTACGGTGTACTACAGCTGCAGAAAAAAGTTAAGCGAATGAAGACATTGCAAATGTGGTACAGGAAATAAATTGGAACGGCCTAGTACAATTAGTTTAAATTACGGAAGTTGCAGATGTAACCACTCTAATGTTGCCGTTAGACATGGAAGCATAATACTTTGCACTCTTTCGCAATTAAAAAAAAAATGAACACGGTAGATCACCCAAAAGTGGTTAAAAGACGTTTGCGGATAATTTCGAAAAGAAACGTGTATATTTATTAAGTGTGATAATCAAATATTGTTAAAAATATGAAGAATACGTTTAATAAATTTCTTCTGCACTCAATTACAAATATTTTTGTATGTAAGAAATTTTGGCTTTATCGTGTATTTGCATTTTTCTTTTGGATAATGGCCATTTACTGGTCTTGCAAAGTTAAGATGTTTGCCCACATATAAATGATGAAGCAATTTATTTGCAGTGTCTAACGGGACCCTAAGTTAAAGTTTTAATTAAAATTAATTTTCGTATTGCTTACAACATTATTTTATTATTTACAATTGAGTCAGCGGAAAAGTATCATATTTGCAGATACATTCAACGATTTTTTAACACTTCCTCAGCCCAATTTAAAATTCATTGCAGATATTTGCTTTTATCTTACATAATGAAAAAATTAAACTTCGGATACTCTGTTTATTGACAACAACTTTCTAGAAAGCGTTTACTGGCGTTATTTGTTAGACTTTAAAATTTACTAAATGCTCTTAAACTTTATATCAGCGACCAACGCCACATGGTCTGAGGGAAAAACAACCGACGGTATTGCTGTATGACATTGTAACTCATCTTCTGTAGGCAGGGGAACCACCTGTAGGAATAATATTCTTTAATTAATTCGTAGTAAAAAAATATAAAAATCACCTGCTCAACTTCCAGGCAGTTACTTTGGTAAAATATATAATCCAGGCACGCTGCAAATGCGTGTGTATAGTTTGTATATGAAGGCGTCCCACAAGCGGATTTCATATTAAATGGTTGCGAAAGGGTAACATTTTGAACCGCTTCTTCAGTATCTGAAATGGAAACGTAATGGATCAATTTGAAATTTAACATTTTGTTATCTTACTGCTTGACCAGTCTGCACAATCTCTTCCTACAGTCCCTTCTATCATTAATTTGTAAATCCCACATTCCGGGACGCTATTGAAATCGCCACAAAAGATCAATGATAACTCATTCTTGTTAGACAAATTAAGTTTCGTTGCGAGGTCCTCATATACGTGGCTGATGTAAGTCATTGCAAAACCCATTTGTAAAAGTCGTATGTGATCCGCATCCGGATGAAAATATAGGTGAGTATTTGCCACTAGCAAATACCGCCCATTAGCTTTACATTTCAACACAGTAATCTTTAAGAAAAATAATATAACGTTATTAATCAAGAAAAAAAATGTCATTGTTTAGCACACATATGTACGTACCAGGAGGGTTGTGGATCTATCACAAATACGATCCAAGAGCTTCTCATTGTCTTTGATCTTACCATACAATATTTGAAACTGCGGGATATTGCGTATCGCTTCTCCAATATTAATCTCATATTTACTATGTAAATCGAATCGAGACTTTCGATAAAACGTCGCAACACCCTCTCCACAAGTTCCTTTTTGAGCGATCATGCCATCATATTCCAGTTCGTCAGAACCCAAAATAGGTGTCAGATCCAAATCGAATATTTTCAAATCAACCTCCTGTAAACAAATTATGTCCGCATTGTAACCAATTATTTCTTTTAAAACTAATTGCTTGCGGTATTCAATTTTCAATGCATATGGTGGACAGTAAGGGAAAAGATGCGTACGAGTGTAGTCACTGTCCGCATATAAATCAGCGAGAATGTTATACGACACAATTCGAAAAGAATCGTCGCTCAGTTTGGATTTGGTGAAACAGTGCCTTGTTTCAAAGGGGCACTTTCCAGGACCAGCTTGTATTTCATTTTTAGTGATTTGCTCAACAGTCGGACCAAGTTCACCTACTTCATTTCCAGGTGTTAGCTTGAATTTTAGAAAGTGTCCTATATCGTTATTGGTGCTATCATAGTGAAAGCCATCGCCGCAATGCTTCCAATCAGCTCCTCTCTCGAGGTCTCCACTTGTTGGCTACATTCGAGAAAAATCATTTCTTCAATCAAGATGAGAAAATAAAAAAATAAACCAATTACCTTTTTTGCTTTATACCATTTTCCAATGCTATGGTTTCGGTCAGAAAACTGCAATTCAACTTTGCTCGGATAGACCCTGAAGCCTGCCATTATATTTATAGGTAAGGTTAAATTTACTACCCACGGCATGTTATATACTATCTGAAAATGTTTATCTATTATGCGAAGTTTTAAGTCGCTCAATTTTTCATCCAAGAGCTTTGCAAAAGTCATGTTTTCTACTCTTTTATTGAGGTCGGATCGCAGTATTTCTACAGGAATCTAAATACAATTTAAATGAAATAAACTTGATTAAAATTATGTCGACGTACCTCATCTAAGCTATAACCCGATAGGTCCTTTAAATCCGACAGCGATTTTTTCTTGCTCTTTTTGGCTCCTTTATTCAGTACTTTTTCTAAATTATTTCGTATGCGGATCAACGCGTCCTCTATGTTTTCGTTTATTTTACGACAAAAGTTAAAATCTCTATCCACTCGCAATTCTTGATTGGTATATCGAAAGTTTATGTGAAGCTCCTGGCTGTCACCACTACGACGGAGGTACACTGTATCCATTTCGTACTTAGGTCGAAGACAACGCGCGGTACGTGCACTAAAAGACCAAATTGGATCAGATAAAAAGAGTTTCCTATATAAGGGGTTAGAAAATTTTTGATTTTTCCTGATCCCTGCTAAAGGGTCCAATCCGAATCTCGAAGAAATAAGTCGTAAGCTCATGGAAATCAATTTGTCACATCAAGTATTGGGTGACACAAAAACAATAGGGCTGTCAAACTATCGATAGCACTATAGACACTATCGATGGTTACACTTTTTTTAATTATCGATTGATAGTCGGGACTTGACTCTCGTTACATCTTTTCATCACAAAATTCTCGGAAGTAAAAACTTCCAAAAGTAAAGTAAAAGCGGTGTGATGCTTCGGCAGGTACGGATTTTGAAAGTAAGTAATAATTACATTCAACAATTTTATTGAGCTTGAGGCTGTTTTTGCATGAACATGGCATGTAATAAGTCTCAAATGAAGTGAATAATTTAAAATCCTATTCTATTTAATATAATAGGTGTGTACTCGTATTGAGAGGACAAAATTCTCTAGCAGCAAAAGTTCTTAGAATTTAGCAGCATTCGCTCTCAAAGAGACGAAATATCAACAGAAGTACGAGAACGCAAAATTTTAAAAACCTTGCCACCTTCGAAACAGCTGATCACTTGCATAGTTGCCACTGGTGATTAATTTGGCAATTTACTTTCTGCTTGGTGCATTATCCCCCGATTTGGCATTTTATACAATTGAATAGTTTTGGATAAGAAAAACCTTTTTGAAATACAAATTAATTATATTGGAATGAATAAGTTATTTTTCTCATAATTATTTGTGATATCACATGGTGACGCATTCAAAAACAAGAGTAGAGAGATGTAGCTTTAAAATTATAAAATTTTCATTTCAACAATAAACCTACCAAAACCGAAAACTTCAGCAAAAAAACATTTCAGCATGCTGCATTTAAATCTATTTTGGTATATTTAAAGGAAAATTATGGTACAAACGAAGAATGGCATACGGCAACCATAGTCCGCACACACTAAAGTACAAAAAACGGGAGGTTAATAGTAAATTAACGAAAAATAAACTCAACAAACGTTGTGCTTATTAAATTTACTCACTTTTTCGTTGTATACTAGCGTTAATAAAATTTGCAATAAATAACACAAAAAGGCCATATTTTCTTTTGTTTATTTACAAACATGTGTTTATGATCAGCTGTGAAATTTACAGTNAATTTAGCAGCATTCGCTCTCAAAGAGACGAAATATCAACAGAAGTACGAGAACGCAAAATTTTAAAAACCTTGCCACCTTCGAAACAGCTGATCACTTGCATAGTTGCCACTGGTGATTAATTTGGCAATTTACTTTCTGCTTGGTGCATTATCCCCCGATTTGGCATTTTATACAATTGAATAGTTTTGGATAAGAAAAACCTTTTTGAAATACAAATTAATTATATTGGAATGAATAAGTTATTTTTCTCATAATTATTTGTGATATCACATGGTGACGCATTCAAAAACAAGAGTAGAGAGATGTAGCTTTAAAATTATAAAATTTTCATTTCAACAATAAACCTACCAAAACCGAAAACTTCAGCAAAAAAACATTTCAGCATGCTGCATTTAAATCTATTTTGGTATATTTAAAGGAAAATTATGGTACAAACGAAGAATGGCATACGGCAACCATAGTCCGCACACACTAAAGTACAAAAAACGGGAGGTTAATAGTAAATTAACGAAAAATAAACTCAACAAACGTTGTGCTTATTAAATTTACTCACTTTTTCGTTGTATACTAGCGTTAATAAAATTTGCAATAAATAACACAAAAAGGCCATATTTTCTTTTGTTTATTTACAAACATGTGTTTATGATCAGCTGTGAAATTTACAGTTCTCTTTCACATTTTGCTCTCTCAATTTCCCTTACTTTGCAAGTTTTTTGGGTACGAGAACGCCAAACCAGTAAAAGTTTTCTAAAATTTAAGATAGTTGAGCATACGAGTAAACTCCTAATAATATATAGCAATTAATAACATGCGCAATGCGGTATTTTCCAATACCATCTACATCCACTGATTCGGAACGAATATTTAGCAAGGCTTTGTTCATTATTTTCGAGAGAATAGTTGTGTTCTTTTACAAATTATCCAGTAACTTGCCAGTAATTCTCCAGTAACTTAATTTCTGAGAATTCGCTCTCATAGCACAAAAGTACAAGAACGCAAAACCAGTAATAATTTGCAAGTTTTACGAACAGCTGATTAATTTGTTGTTTATTCGCAGCTAGTTCCTATTAAAACAATATATATTATATTTAAATAGGTTTATTTTGTCAATTTCAACTATGAAAACCTCGTAAACATTTCTTTTATTAGTTTTAATTCCACCCAGCAACACGCGATCAGCTGTTTTTCTCACTTACAAGTTCTTACTAGCAAAAATTTATCCAGTAAAAACTAGCAACTTCTCCTCAGAAAGAAATGTCAATTTGCGCTCTCAATTTCCCCTTTCTTACAAGTTTTTTGGGTACAAGAACACCAAAACGTGATAGTTAGTACAAACTGGTACAAACTATCGCGTACAAGAACGCTACTAATATGTGCCCCAAAGCCAAAAAACGATGATTTGATTATATTGGGTCGTCGAGCGATCTTTTAAAAACCTGCTTTAAAATTAATATCCACTTGAAATTTTAAAAGTACAACAAAGTACAAGTACATTAAAAAATTATCTAACTAAGAATTGTTTTAACAAAAATTACATAATTAATGAAAATATAGGTTTTCTTGTTGATGCTTTTCAACAAATGAAATGTTGATTCTATTTAGTTATTGAAGGCGCTTTTTGAGCTCTAAATGTGAATATAAAGTGTACTAAATTTGTTGTTCTTGATTCTATGAATTATACAGCCCAATTCTGAATACTGCCGGGGAGTTTGTTCTCTGGGAATTTGTTTCTCCCGGAAAAGAAAAACTCCAATAATTAACTCCCAGCGAGTAGATTTTCCCCGAAAATTTGGGAGTAGGAAATTCGAACTTCGAAAGAGTTGTTTGACACTTTTTTGACAGCTCAACTCCACCATTTAAAATAAAAAATTCTCAAAGAATTTTCTTTCATAATAGGAGGAAAGGGAAAAGAGAAACACTCCCGGGGGGTTTCTGTTCAGAATCGGCCTGATATGTTAAAAATAGTTTAGCTGCAGTACAGGCTTGTACTATGTTCTGACCGCCATCGAAAACATGTTTTCGTTGCTAAAACTAGTTTTCGGCCTAATATCATGTTCTGCCCGACAACTTGTTCGAAAATCGAGGATCCTATATTTTTTACTTGCACATTATTTGGCTGTGTTCATAAATTGATTTTTTTTTTTTTTTTTGATTTTTTTGAGGTTAGGATTTTCATGCATTAGTATTTGACAGATCACGTGGGATTTCAGACATGGTGTCAAAGAGAAAGATGCTCAGTATGCTTTGACATTTCATCATGAATAGACTTACTAACGAGCAACGCTTGCAAATCATTGAATTTTATTACCAAAATCAGTGTTCGGTTCGAAATGTGTTTCGCGCTTTACGTCCGATTTATGGTCTACATAATCGACCAAGTGAGCAAACAATTAATGCGATTGTGACCAAGTTTCGCACTCAGTTTACTTTATTGGACATTAAACCAACCACAGATCTTGGTGTAAAACCGTATAAAATACAGCTCGTGCAAGAACTGAAGCCGAACGATCTGCCACAACGTCGAATTTTCAGTGAATGGGCCCTAGAAAAGTTGGCAGAAAATCCGCTTTTTTATCGACAAATTTTGTTCAGCGATGAGGCTCATTTCTGGTTGAATGGCTTCGTAAATAAGCAAAATTGCCGCATTTGGAGTGAAGAGCAACCAGAAGCCGTTCAAGAACTGCCCATGCATCCCGAAAAATGCACTGTTTGGTGTGGTTTGTACGCTGGTGGAATCATTGGACCGTATTTTTTCAAAGATGCTGTTGGACGCAACGTTACGGTGAATGGCGATCGCTATCGTTCGATGCTAACAAACTTTTTGTTGCCAAAAATGGAAGAACTGAACTTGGTTGACATGTGGTTTCAACAAGATGGCGCTACATGCCACACAGCTCGCGATTCTATGGCCATTTTGAGGGAAAACTTCGGAGAACAATTCATCTCAAGAAATGGACCGGTAAGTTGGCCACCAAGATCATGCGATTTGACGCCTTTAGACTATTTTTTGTGGGGCTACGTCAAGTCTAAAGTCTACAGAAATAAGCCAGCAACTATTCCAGCTTTGGAAGACAACATTTCCGAAGAAATTCGGGCTATTCCGGCCGAAATGCTCGAAAAAGTTGCCCAAAATTGGACTTTCCGAATGGACCACCTAAGACGCAGCCGCGGTCAACATTTAAATGAAATTATCTTCAAAAAGTAAATGTCATGGACCAATCTAACGTTTCAAATAAAGAACCGATGAGATTTTGCAAATTTTATGCGTTTTTTTTTTTAAAAAAGTTATCAAGCTCTTAAAAAATCACCCGTTAGTTTCTACCGAACTGCATTCGATGCTTCAGTCATTGCTTACCGGGAGGCGACTATTATCATTTCGTTAAGATATACGAACCACCGCACTCACCGGTTCGTAGTACCCAACCCGAAATACAATTATTTTTTGTTTACACTAACTAAGCAAATGTATTTTTTATTTAAATTTCAGTTTATTTTAATTATAATTACAGATTTAAATATGAGTTGAGATGTTTTAAATTTTATTTCATTTACGTTACATCGAGCGATCCCTTATTCTGGTATCATTCTTTATTTATATTTAGGTAATTTTTGTTCAGCTGTTTTTACATTTAATTTTGGCTTCTAAACACAATTGCGTATCTTATACTTTTCTGAACTAAAAATATATGTAACTTCTCTCCACAGAGGATGCACGTATTATGCGTATGGCTTTCATTTTAATACATACAAAATGAAATATAAAGTTCATTCTTCTGGTTAAAAATTTATTTGTTGTAGGAAACGTGCGGCTATAAAAAGTGAACTTATAAAGGGGAAAGGGGTTAGTATGAATAATGATTCAAAAAGTTAAATAATTTTAACTCAAGAAAAGCTTATGTCAAACTTTTGATATACATTTTTATATGTATGTATATATATGTATATTTTTTATGTTTTCATAAGATTCGAAATGTGTAACACCGGAAGAATACCAGTAAAGTGAGAAATATAGAAATTCAAAGGTTAAGCCCACGGCAGGTTTGTGGCATTAAAAAGGTACAGCTGTGCCAAAGTGAGAGGAGGGGAAATTAAAACTTAAAACCATTAATCTTCAAAGCTCCCGTAGGAACACGAAACGCAATGCAAAATGTTACACTAAATGCAGCTAGTCGTTCTTCGGTTAGTTTTTGC